CCACCCCCAGCTCCCACCCTGGAGGCCACCTGCACATGCTCTAGCAGCAAAAGCTAACAAACCTAGCTTGGTATTAGCGAAATTCAAGTGGAGTTTTTGTGACAAAAACATGTCAGCGGAAAACGTTTCAACTCTTGAGGTCAAAAAAAAAAAAAGTTGGGGAGCAAATGCAGCTAACGTTCAATACATGTTGCAAACTCAATAATGTATAGCATCCGTTTTGCTGAGAAGCAACTTTGTGATCTATATAAATATATATTCGTTTTTGTTTCAATCCCACCACCAAAATACTAAAATAAAACACGCCAAAAAAGGCCAAACAGACTACTGAATACAACCATTTAAAATGTGATGATATTGTGCAGTAAAATGTAGTAAAATAAAAATAAAAATTTCTGGATGAAAACAAACAGATTTTGGAAAAAAAAATGCAAATAAAACCAAAATAAAAAGTATATAAAATGTAGCTCTTGCTGTTTTAAGTAAAAATGAAGCTCACAATTTTTTTGGATATATACTTTTAGTGTTCAAAATTTTTGTTAATTTAGCTTTTGCCCTATATGTATGTATATATATATATATATATATATATATATATATATATATATATTATTGTTGCTTTTATTTAAAAATATATATATTTTAATTGTATAGTAAGTGACCCTTTTGGAATTACCTTTTTTTTTTGTTGCATAAATTCATCATATTTCATGTCCTAAAATGTCATACAATTTTCAATCTACTCTAAGTTGCAATAAGAGAAAGACGCCGTCTGCTTAAGCTCACACCAAACAATGATATGTTGTCATGTTTTTATTGGACACACCACGTTCAGAACATTCACTGTACTGGGTGGAAAAAAAAATAATATAGGAATCTTTGGATTTAATAAGGGGTTGAGCCTCTTTTGGCAGCAGTTACCTCAACCAAAAGTTTTCTGTTGTTGTAGAGCCGATCTGCGCAACAGTCGGAAGGAATGTTGACACATTACATTTTACAAAACGGCTTCGGTTCAGCAATTTTCTTGAGATGTCAGGTGTAAATTATTCTCCTTAGGGACTGCCACAGCGGGTAAATTGGGTTGAGGTTAGGATTGTGACTTGGCCACTCCATCAGGTGTGTTTTCTTTTGCTGAAGCCATTTAGTGGTTGATGTAATTATGTCTGTCCCTGTTGCATGACGTATCGTCTGCTAACCTTCAATTGGCATTCTGATGTTTTTATGTAACAATGCAAAATTCATTGATAAACTGGGGAATTTTTAAGGTGTTGATCCAGTCCAGGCCCTGAGTAAGGCAAGCGTTCCCAAATCATTATGCCTGATTCACCCTAGAGCCTCAACACAAAATATTTGGTTGTTCTTCGGCTAAGAATGTAAAGAAAACTTAAAATCATACCGATTTGGCGATACACTGTATGCTTTTTTTATTTCTATTTTTTTGGGGGGGGAAGATGATAATTATTTTCATTGCAACAACACCAGGACTTATTTTCGTCAAATCACTGCTGTATGTCTGATTTTTTAAAATTATTCAAATTACTCATCAAATTAATGCATTCCTTTTTTTTTTTTTACATTTTTAATTTCTCTCTGTCATATGATCCTTACAGTTTTAAGAATTGAATTTTCAAGCAATTCAACGAGCGCCACACCCCTCGCAGCCCCTTTAGCCCCCCCACCCCTTCCGGCAGCAGTTCAAAGGAGCGTCTCTCTGCAAACATTATCATATAATTTGGGCCAGTCGTCGGCTTGTAAATAAGTGATGTCGAGGCCCATTGTGTGGCGGGGCACAGGTTGGAGACAGGCGTCTTTGCTGTTGCCGGCACGAGACAAAGGCAGGAGACAGAGCGTCTAACCTTTTGATTCTTCAGAGGATCACATCAGCCCGGGACACATCGCCCGCAATCATGCCCCTAACGCAAGGATGAGGGGTAGGAAGGGGGGAGGACAATAGGCTCACCCTCACCGCGGCCCGCTCGCAATTGGATTAGCAATTGTCCCAGCACATGTTAGCCTAATTGACATTAAAGTGAAATGGGAGAACAATAGGCCGCCTAACTAAAGGCCTGCTGCTGTCTTTGTCATGGAATTAAATGTCTGTAACTGCAATTGACAGACAACAGGGGGGGAGGAAGAAAAAAAAACATCTAAAGGACTTGCAATTTGAACAATTGAAAAGTTACTAGGAAATAAAAAAAAAGAAAAGTAAAACAAATAAGCCCTGGGCTGCATGGATTTAAACTCCTCAACCCTACGTCAGTGGTAGGTCACCCGCAGCCGATGGGGCCAATATAACGGCGCCTTCAAACCAGACGACATGATGACATCTAAAGTCACTGCAAACGCGTCAATCAACGCGAATTCGCGTCAGGCGATGCGAAAAACAGGTTTGACGCAACGCGAGTTGGGCGAAGTTCAAATGCTCCCACTGAAGCCGCAAATTGTTGTCACGCTGCCTTGCGACGCAATGACATACCGCGCCACACGCAACATCCAGCAGTTGTTTTGCAGAACAATGGAGGATTAAATTATTACGACCGTTTTTTTTTTATTGTATTATTTTTTGGTCAGATGGAACTTTTTGATCATTCCTGCTAAACAGCTGGCCTGGAAAACGGAGAGCGAGAAAGTTTGCATATCTGGTTTAATATGTTACTTGTTTACAAGCTGATGGTTGTACTTTGCTGTGAGCAAAGCTAGCAATAGCATTAGCCAACGATTTAGCACAACTACAGTCCCCCCCGGTGATACCAACACACTGATTATCCGAGCTGTTTGTATTGATTGACCGGCAGTGTTCTTTTATATAATTTTGAGTGTGGAGTGAATGAAGAGTAGTTCATGGTCGTTGTGTACACAACCGCTGCGATCTCACGCGAGTATCACGTCTGGCGTAAACGCGGCAGAAGCCCCGCCATTCAATTGTGGAAAACAAATATGCATCCTTTGTTATAAAAAGACAAAGAATATAATAATTTTAGGATTCTTTAAATTGAACTACATTTCTACAAGAATCAGAGCAATGGTTGCCAATGGTCAAGGTAAATCGTTTTTAGCTATTGATCGTCAAGCGGGCCCACAATTTATTGGCAAATAGTTTACTGTTTATCATTCGTGTACAGTTTATGTAGAGATTATGGCAAAACAATATATTGTCGCAGTTCAAGGAAAAATTGTGTCTTCAAATATGTGATTAAAAAAAAAATCTAAAACTCAGCAAAAATTTATTTTCTTTTGGGTCCAAATTCACAAAATTTGGCAAGTCAGACATTTCATTGCAGAGCGACAATATATTTAAGTAATGTGCGTGAAAAGAAAACAACTGAGCACAGTTGGCAATATATGCTAGGATTCTATAAAATGGATCTTCTGGAATTCATAAAATGTTGTTCTTTTGGGAAAAAAAAAATTATATGATGGTGAAAGAAATAAATATTACCAGTAAATCATTTTTTCATCTATTTTATCAGTTAAAAAAACGTATACAATCTAATGTACATGATGAAAAGTTGTACAGCTCCCCCCCATGTTTAAAATAAGGACTCAACTTATTTTTTTTTAATATATCGATATAAATATATGTATATTTTGTCAAAATATATGATCATATTATTAAAGGAACAACAAATAAAAAGTGAGACAAACGTACACCTCAACGTCAAAGTTATAAATAAAGTTGTTTTGTCCAAGTCCGGATTAGCTTGCTCTTTAGCGGCAGCCGCAGCCCTCCACCACCATTTCCTGGTAGTTTTTCAGCACCACCTTGTCGTTTTCGTCCAAGTAAAGCATGGAGATGGCGCTGAGCTCCGTGGGCACGCAACAGGCCTTGGGAATGTTGTTGTTCACAGAGTTCACTAGTGTCTGAACAATGGCATGGTTGGTGGAGTTGAGGTGGTCCGCCAGCGGGAAGGGGCACTCCCCATGGCAGTAGTAGGCCTGGTAGCCAGGGGGCGCCACTATCCAGTCATTCCAGCCCACGTCGCTGAAGTCGACGTAGAGCGCGTGGCGCCGGCAGTTGCGGTTGCGCTTGCGTCCCCGCTGCTTGGGGCTACGCTTGGTCCGCTTGGTCAACGGGTGACCTTTGCCGTCGTGGCCGAACGTCACCAAGAGGGGCACGGCGGGGCTGACGTCGAAGCTCTCCCAGCGCGACGCGTTGTGCCGGACCAGCCGCGTGTCCAGGAGCTGCGTGATGAGCTGGCCTGGCCGCGGAGCCTTCAGCACCTCGTACACATTGATCCGGTGGAGGCTCGCCTTGTCGTTGTCATCGCCGTCCGCCTCGGCTATCTGTTGTCGATAGAGGCGCAGTTCGGCCGAAGAGAGCAGCTCGTCCGCTGGGATGCTGCTGAGGTTGAACAGGAAACGTAAGGGCGTGGCCTCACCGTCATCCAACTCGTGCACTCGCTCCATGTGCTCTGAAAGGGAAGGAGATGAAGTTTGTTACGAACTTAGGAGTCGACGGGGTGAGGATCAGAAATTGCCCACAAATAGCGAAAATCCATGTCGAGTTGCATTTCGGAGAAAACGGGCGGAAAAAGAAAAAAAAATCTTAATTTACAAAATAAGAATCGTTTATGGAATATGGTAAGTAATATGTTTTGTGATATTTCAACTTAAATACAAAAAAATGAAACTATCGCCAAAAACTGATGTGCTAGAAACAAGTGAAGACATTTTTTTAATTAAATGTCAAAATAAGTTTAGGGACATATACTGTAAAGTCGTCTCTGATAGAAATTTGCTGTTGACCTGTGAAATCTGGCAGCCGATGACGAGAACAAATCAAATTAAAAGTGATTTCCTTAAAATTTCAGGCAACTTCGTGATAGATGCTGCTGACTGTGGGAACTCTGCAATTTTTTTTTTTTGTTTCAAATTAGAACTTTAGTGGGAAATTTTGCTAAACGTTTATTGACTGTAGAAAACTATAATGTGCTATCACGAATCATATGCTTAAATATATTTCAACAGACTTAAGAGTTGGAGTTTGTAATATATTTTTTTTTGTTTGTTGTTTTTTTTATTGCAATATTTTCTTTTACTGAAATGAATATCGGCTTCAAATACCAGTTATGGGCCTCCTTGATGACTAATATTCGGTATCAGCCGTAAAAAAAAACAAAAAAAAAACACGATTTGCTTTAGCTCTCACGTCGTTAGTTGTGACCATTTCAACAAGAAGCCTGCGGGTGGGGGGAGGTCGTCAATTGGTAATTTTTTGGGGTTGAGAATATGACATAGTGGTCTTGTACTTGAAAAGTAATTGACAGCTACAAGACGCAGCGATGTCTGCAAACCTCTTTGAAGTTTAAGAAAGGACGGAGAACCCATTTGAAAAACGTCAAGTCGATTTCGTGACTGTTCCACTCCGGACCGCCAGGTGGCAATAATGCACGTTAAATGTGGTTGGCAACTACCAAAGTAGAAGAAGCAAGTCCTGCCACTTTCTCTGGATCGTATTCTGCATGACCAAGTGAACCTAGCGCTGTATTTTCAAGTGCATACAGTATAATGAATCAAATTCAATTCATTCCAGAGGGGAAAAGCGATTTCAGATGCAAATGAGCGTCGTTACGAGCTTGGCCACCGAAACGAATTAAATGCGCAAGTCACGATAACACGAGGCTTCTTTCTCCCCCCCCCCCCCGGACGTATCTCGTGGACTTGTTCGCTGAGCACTTTGCTGAAGCACGCATCCCGAGGAGGGTGATGATTAACGTACCACAGCTACAGTAGAAACACAGTGGAAGCTCCCTGTTCGGCGCTCACGCTGCACATTTCTGGCAAGATCACCGTTGTTGAAGTGGGCCTGGGGAGGGGGGGCGGGGGGTGGAGG